TTGCAAAAAAATATAAATAAATAAAATAAAATAAATAAATGCACAAACATTAATAAAATAAAAAGTGTGTATGTATTATTTTGTTGCAATGAAGCCTGCAAAGTAGACATGTAAGCTGTGGAAAAATTTGGTTTGGTGCGGATATTTAGTTATTTCAGGATTCGGGGTTTCGAATTCGGGCTAAGTCGGATTTTTTGTTCATTTCGGAAAAGTTTACGAACAAATATTTATTAAGACTAGAAAACCATATACAGATATTAACACTAAAGCTGAATCTCCTAGACCCGAATGGCATTCAGGATCCGAATTTCCAAACTGCATTCGGGAGCTCCTGAATTCGGATTCGGATACCATTCGGATCTGGGAGCCATATACATATATTACTAAAGCTGAGGCTCCCAGACCCGAATTGTATTCAGGAGCTCCCGAATGCAATTCGGAAATTCTGATTCCGAAAGCCATTCGGGTCTGGGAGCCTCAGCTTTAGTATTATATGTAGGGATGCATCAATACCGATACTAGTATCGGTATTGGTGCCGATATCGAGATTTGGGCTAGTACTTGTACTTGCGCAAATGCTCCAATACTTTTCCTGATATCGGAACTTCCAGTCTGAGGAAGATTTCCTCTGACTGGCAGTGCCATAGGGGAACTTGGAGCCAGCTTCCCATGTGATCAGGAAGCTGGGTGGCGAGTAATGACCTGCCTCCTGATTGGCCGGTAAGCTGGCTCCATGCTGATTGGCTGGGAAGCTGGGAGGTGGGCCATTACTCACCGCTTGGCTTCCTGATTGGCTGGGAAGCTGGCTTGCTGTTTGGCAGGGAAGCCGGTTTCCCAGCCAAGCTTAATCAAGCAAGATAGACAACATGGAGCCAGCTTCGCGGGCAATCATCCCGGGATGCTGGCTTCATGGCAGTGGAAGCAGCGGTATCGGTACCCAGTATCAACGAGTACCGAAAGCAAAGTATTCGTACTCGATACTGAAAAAACAGTATCGGTGCATCTCTAATTATATGTATATACTGTATATGGCTCCCATGTGGTCATAACAACAATTTGTATTCAGACCCATTTGGATGCATTAAACTAAAAAACACATCTGGTTGGCCAGAAAAGTCACATGTCCGATTCAGTTTCGTTTTTGAACAAAATTCGGACAGGACACATTGGGATGCATTGGGATTCGGGAATTCAATGGTGTCCGTATTTTGGAAAATTAGTACGAATTTTGATTCGGAACGAAACGCACATGTCAACTGCAAAGCATTGCGACTGTGATCAGTGGCTTACGGGAGCAATGCTCCTGTTTCTGCAGACTCTTGCTCCCAGCCCCTGTATTTACAGAGAAATGGACTTTCAGCTAAGGGATGAGAGGATATATGAATAGTGCGGTGGTGTCATATAAAGAACTAGAAGTCTCTCTGCTGCCATGGCACATGCACAGGTCCTGTGAATGGATGACGCGGCTGTGCACCAAATTTAAACAGAGAGAGAGAAAAGCAGAGAGAAGAACCCCATAATTCAGGTAAGTGTGTGTGTGTGTGTGTGTGTGTGTGTGTGGGGGGGGGGGGGTAAACAGAGACGGAACTGCAGCCGGTGCCTCAGCCTGGGTGGGCC